GAGGTCCCAACCTTCATTCACCACCCTCCCCACCACCACCACCGTGTTACCAATTTAACAACCCCTCATGGGTGAAAACCGCTTTATCAGAGCTCTGAAATCCACATGAGAGATGATATCACCCTGCTGGAACACAGAAAGGGCGAGAGAGGAGTTTTCAACTCCTTTTCAACGGGGAACGCCCAGCACAGTGCAAGAGAAAGAGGGCCTCCTAGCCAGAGAATTCTCCCATGCCTTACATGCAGGGAGGGCAGCTCCTTTTTACTGCAGGGTAGAATTCCTTGGCTACAATGTATTATTGCTTCTTTCACAATAGTTAAACACCCTTTGAAGGACATCAGGGTTCTTTCCTGTTTTGGTCTATTAACAACCAGCTGCTATGAACATAGCACAGGTTTTCATATAGACATTTTTTACGCTTCATTCCTGTGAAATAAGTGCCCAAGATTGCATATTCTAGGTCCTATGACAATTACATATTCATTTTATAAGAAAGGGCCAAGCATTTTTGAGGTGGCTATACTGTTTTACATCCCTACCAGCAATGCATAACTGATCCAGATTATCTGCATCCTTGTAAGCATTAAGTGTTCGCTACCTTTTATTTTAGCCATTCTGATAGGTGTACAGAGATACTTCACTGTGGTTTTAATTTGCTTTTTCCTTATGGCTAATTATACTGAGAAACTTTCAGTATGCTTACTTAGTCTCAGTATAGGTGTATGTCTTCTTCAGTGAAATATCCGTTTGTGTCATTTGCCTATTTCATAACTGGATTGCATGGGATTTTCTATTATCAAGTTTGGAAGGTTCTTATGTATTCTGAATACCAGTAGTTTTCAAATAAATAAATAAATAATATGTGTGTGTGTATGTGTGTGTGTATACATATATATGCATATATTTCAAATAAATATTTCTTTATCATGGGGTTAGACCCCATCTCCAGATACAATCTCATTGAGGGTAGGGGTTTCAACATATGAATTGGGGGAAGTCCAGAAGTCAGTCCATCGTGGAACAAGGGAAGGACCTCCACTCTCATGATTCGTACCCCATATAGTACTGGAAGTTCAAGCCACTGCACTAAGACATGTAAGAACACATGAGAAGGCGGCCATCTGAAACCAAGAAGGGAGCTCTCGCTAGAATCCAGCTATGCTGGGACTCTGACCACAGACTTCCAAGGTCCAGAACTATGAGAAAACAAATTTCTGTTGTTTGAGCCACCCAGTCTATGGCATTTCGTCATGGCAACATGAGCTGACTGAGACATGTTCTGTATCTCAGGGGGAAATATTCATATGAACTTAGTTGTAGATTTCTGGTATACATGCTTCATCAAGATGTACGAATTCCAATCTATTTCTAGTTTGCTGAGAGTTTTATTTTGTTTTTTGTTTTTTTTTAATCATGAATGGGTTAAATTTTGTTAAATGCTTCTTCTGTGTCAAGTGATATGATTGCATGTTTCTTCCCCTTTATCCTGTTCATATGATTGATTCTCAAATGTTGGACTAGCCTGCCCTACCTGGAATAAGTCTCAGTTGGTCATGGTGTATAGTTCTTTCTATACCTTGTTGGATTCAGCTTACTGATATTTGGGTGACAATTTCTGTGTCTTATAAACGATATTGCTGTCTAGTTAATTTTTTTTTTTAACTGTCTTTGTCTTGTTTGAGATCAGGTTAATGCTGGTCTTATAAATGAACTGGATAATGTTTTCCCCCCACCCCTTTACTTAAGGTTGTAAAAATTGTGTTAACTCTTTTTTAAATGTTTGGAAAAGTTATCTAGTACAACCATTCTGGCCTGGATATTTTTAGGTGTTATATTTTCCTTTCAGCGCATCTGTTCTGATAATCTATAAACAAATACTGTCATTGAGATATCTACACCTTTGATTTTCGGTTGAAAAGAAACATGACAATTTTATTAGCCTATTTTTGCAAACATCTTAATGTATTCTCTAATTTTTCTTTTTATTTATTTACTTCTCTATTTTCAGTTTGGTTGAGATATTATTTATATATCATACAATTTACTCATTTAACGTGTTCAAGTCAATGGTTTTTAGTTCATTCAGATATAGATGCAGCCAGTGTGACAGTCAACTTTAGAACATTTTCATCCCCTCAAAAAATGCCCCATACTCTTTAGCTCCCACTCCTTTTTTAAAAATATTTTTTATTTATAAAAAAATTATTTATTTATATTTTTATTTATTTTAGATATATATATATATTTAAATATTTTTATTTATTTCTAGGAGAGAGAGAGAGAGACAGCGTGAGCAGGGGAGGGTCAGAGAGAGAGGGAGTCACAGACTGAAACAGGCTCCAGGCTCTGAGCTGGCAGTCAGCACAGAGCTCGACGTGGGGCTCGAACCCATGAACCGCGAGATCATGACCTAAGCAAAAGTCGGACGCTTAACCGACTAAGCCACCCAGGTGCCCCACTTTAGCTCCCACTCCTAACTCCCCACTTCCCCTCTCAGCTTTCAGCACCCACTATCTGCTTTCCATCTCTGTGTTTTCCTATCTGGACTTTGATTTGCATGGAAAAATATAGCATGTAGGTTTTGTAACTGGCTTTTTTCACTTGGCATGTTTTTAAGTTTCATCTGTAGCATAGTATTAGTTCTTCAGTCTTTTTTATGGCCAAATATGATTCCACTATCTGGATATATCAGTTTTTTATCCAGTGTTGTTGATGGAATTTGGGTTGTTTCCATATTTTGGATCAAATGAGTAACACTGCTAGAAATGATTCTATAAAAGGTTTTGTGTGAACAGGTTTTAATTGCTCTTGTGTATAGACTTCGTAGAATTGTTTGATTAGATTATAACTGTGTGTTTCATCTTTTGAGAAATGGCCAAACTATTTTCTTAAATGGGTGCACCACTTTCTTTTTCCACCAGCAATGGACAAGGGTTCAAACTCCTCCACAGCCTTGCCAACATTTGCTATTATGTGAATACTGGATTCTGCTCTTCAGGTGGGTATGAAGTAGTGTCTCATTGTGGCTTTTAATTTCCTGAAGACTCATGATGTTGATAATCTTTTCATATGCTTGTTGGCCATTTTTATATCTTCCTTGGAGAAAAGTCTATTCTGTGGTCTTCCCCCCACCCATTATTGTCATTTATTACTGGTCTTAAACTGCCTTTTCACTTACTACCTCTAACATAATTTCATTTTTGCATAGTTTTTCCCCCCAAAAGGCACGCAGAATGTATACATATTTTGTGAGATATTCCTTCCCCAATCTGGATGCTTGTGTGGCAATGTCTCTTATAGGTCTGGGGAAAATCTCAAATAATATCTAATGTTCACAAAATCCAGATTATTCTCCATCTTTTGTCCTATTTTATATTACACATAAACTACAATGAAACACAGACTCTCTCTTTAAATTACCTCTTCCTGTCAGTGTTCATATCCCTTCCGTGGGCTGGGGTGCCGGAATAGTTTATAGTTTTCCTCTTTAGACCTTTCCATTAAAATTTTAAAAAATAATGTTTTTTTTACTCATGAATGCTAGTTCATGCCCCCAGACTGGATTCATGTTAGGCAAACAAAGCTAATACCTTTTCTTGGTAGTTGCTGAGTTTCTGATTTACTAGAAAGGTATCCACCTTCCCTTATTCTCACATTCCGTTTCTCTTAGTCCCCGATTTATGGACTACCTTCAATTTGTTTTGTGATTTCCTTCCTCTATATAGTTCTATCAGCTGTCACAGCTCTTCTCCGCGTTTCTCCATCAAGCTCCTCCGTTCCATTCATTCATCTTGAATCCCCCTGTTCTTCTCTGCTTCTCTGGGGTGACCCCTGGGCCCCGTAGGACACAGCTCCAAGGAGCCCTTCTGCGGGGCTGCGTGTGAAGCCTAACTCCTTATTCACACATAGTGCTGCTTCTAAGCCCCAAACACTAAAGCACCGAGAGCACAAAAACCAGAGGCTCAAAACACAGACGAGGGAGAGGGTAAAAGGGAAGAACCAGTGCCAGGAGAGAACTCCACCCGGAGCTAAGAGAACACTGAGGAGGCGGGGCTTGTGCACATCGGTCTCAAATTCTCAGGATTTCTGCCGAGCTCAGCTGTAAACCAAGTCACCTGTCTGTGTTAGAACAGACACAGATGAACGTCCTGCCTAGCACTACTCCTTGCAACCGGTCACACAGAGATTAACCTAAGTGTGGATAAGCCACACCAACCCCGTTCGAAAAACGACTTCCACAAACAGAGCCTCACGTCGGGCTCTGTGCTGACCGACAGCTCAGAGCCTGGAGCCTGCTTCTGATGCTGTGTCTCCCTCTCTCTCTGCCCTTCACTCACATTCTGTCTCTCCTCTCTCTTTCTCAACAGGAAAAAAAAATTTTTAAGTTTAAAAAAAGATAGGTGTGTGCTTGTGCACGTGTGTGAACACATATGTGCACAGTTGTGGGTGAGCGTGTAGCTCTCCACACATCCCTGCCCTCATTCCAGCCCTGGCAAGGAGTCTATGCTCTTACAGGACTCAGCTTCTGTGTATTTCCCCACAAGATTGATGCTCTTAACATTTTAACTAGCTGTTTCTGGACCCAACCTTACGCAGGGACATGTCTCCCCACCTTTGCCCGGGAGACCTGTACGACTTTGCTCTGACTGTTCTCAGACCTTTCCTACCTCACCCCCGATCAAAGCTACTTCGGCATCTGCAGTCCAACCACGCGGCTCTGCAGTCCAACCACGCGGCTGTCTGTCCTAAAGTTACACTGTCTTCCGTTGTCTCTCCCTTTATAGCTGTATCAATTCAGTTTAAAGTCCCCATGACCCCTTTAGAATGGCAGAGAAGAGCTATATATTATTTATGAAAGAATGAAAGGAGACAGGGACAAAGAGAGGAAAGTAAGATATAAATTACCAAAAAGAAAAGAAAAATGGGTGAAGGGCACATTTCATGCATTTTTTAGAGCAGCTAGAGACACACACACCTACTATACAAATGTGTACACTCACAGCAACGTCCAAACAGTGAAAACACAGGAGTCATTCACTTCTTCTACCGCATAAGTCTTCAAATGTGCAGACTTCTCGGTTTTAAATCCCACCTGAAAGAAAAAGTTACTCTCTTGATATTTGCCTGTGTTTTCATAAATCTATTTCTCAGTGGCCCAAGAGTCACATGAAATACGTATCACTGTACTGGTTCTAAAACTTTAAGCCTTTCATTTGATCCAGGAACAGTGCAGCGAATTGCTTTTGGTTGGTGCTAGTGAAAGTCTAACTGGCAATTTTATAACTATAAACTACACTGTTAAGGATAACGAATGTTTATGGAGTGCTTTTCACCTGCCAGGAACACTTCTGAGCACTTTACTTATTTTCTTTTACTTCCATCTCATTTAAGCCTTGTGAGCATGTGCTGTTAAGAGTTGAGTGAATTAAGGCACAGTGGTCTGCCCAAGCTCCCCGGGAAGACACAAGGCAGAATCATGACTTGACTGCATAAACCATACAGCTATTAGTCTCCACCACACCTTGATGCAACTCTTTAATAAGATACACTGCTCTGTAGCATGACATTTTCCTTCTCTCTTTCTGTCTTTCTCTTTTTGTTTTATTTATTTTTGAGAGAGCATGAGCAGCGGAAGGGCAGAGAGACAGGTAGGGACAGAGGATCCAAAGCAGACTCCGTGCTGACCACAGTGAGCCCAGCCCAATGCGGGGCTCGAACTCATGAACCGTGAGATCATGACCTGAGCTGAAGTCTGACGCTTAGCCCACTGAGCCCCCAGGCGCCCCAGCATGACATTTTCTATTTAAATCAGCCTGAGTTTATGCAGGCAATCGTACAACTCTAGGGGGCACCACACGCGTAAACACACGGTGAACTGCGTGCCTCGGAGAGAAGGGCAGCAATGGGGCTTCAGCGCCGTGACACTTCTGTGGGATTGCTCTCAGCCTATCGTAATACTTCCGCACTTCTCAAGTCTAGTAACCAGGTAAAAAGAGAAGTGATGAGCAGAGCAGTACTGGTGTCCTGCTTCTCCAACTGCAGTCAGGCGGGCGGACGTTCGGGAGTCGGTGTCAGCAGGAAGGCTGCCGGGGACCCGGGCAGCGCCCTGAAGGTACAGGGAGCGCTGCGTTCGCGGGCAGGCGCGGGGGCGGGAGGGCAAGCCGCAGCGGGACGGCCGCCTCTGGCGTTACCTCCCCGCGTCTATCCAGCACGAGGAAGCTTCATGTGCTCCATTTTCAACCTCGCTCTCCCGTACGCACTTATCCCATCTGCTCAGCTGGCAACCAGCCTTCGTATCTGTATGCCTGGGCGGGCTCCGTGGTTTCCTGGGGCCTTGATGCTTTGGGGTCGGTCCACATCACAGATTAGTCCCCTTGTAGGAGGCAGCGTTCTTTTAGATTATTCACTAACTACTTTGCGGCCATGGCTTGAATTCTGGCGTGCGTGGTACCCTGACGAGGGGCTTATGTGGCCGAGCCCCTTGTTTCCCGTTACCCTCCTTCTATCTATTGCAGGAGACCCTCCTCGACCAAGACGGTTCCTGCTGACTCTCTCTGTCCCCTATAGCTGGCTCTCCATCCCTTCCGGACACTAATCTCCCTCTGACCACGACACCCTCATCTCATTTCTCTAGAAGGTGGCTGAACCCTGGAGCTAGTATCTCAACAATCCAACGCACCTCGGAAAGATTTAAATAATACAAAGATATGAAATAGGATTTCATTTTAAATCCCAATTTGTCATCTTTTTGTTTCTAGGGACAACTGAGTTGAACTACCCATGGACAGATGCAGAATCCAAGGAAATATTATTAAAGGACTTGGGGGAAAATAGGGCTTAAAGACACTGCCTTTTAGAAAAGCTTTTCTGACACCAGAGGAAAAGATGGATTATAGAACAATAGGATTGTTTAACTTATCTATGAAAAATAAAACAGCATATTCCAAAGAGAAGACAACAAGATACGATTTCTATTCTCAATAGGCTGATAAGGCTGACTGCGGAATTAACTCTAAGCTTGTTTGAAACTGAGACGTGATGAGTACAGAGGCTATATAGCACAGGGTTTCAAAGGCACTGGGAACACAAACAATAGTGGCAAGTCCAGAAAGGGCTCAGAAAAGAAAGAAAAATTGAGTCCAGCTGTAAAGGATGAAAATAATTTGGAAAAAAATCCGAAGTGTCCTATTTAAATGTCTGGTAGTATATACATAGGAAGGCTGGGGTGGGGGGGGGGGGGGGAAATGATCAGAGAAATCTACCTGCAAAGTTCAAATAGTGTTGAAACTCTGGAATGCCAGTATAAATATAAAAATAATAAACTTTCTTTTACTGTCAAAGGGAAATAAGAAAGCTTTTCCAGTACATTCTTCAGATTTGACCCCTTGGAAGACATCGGTAACACTAAGAGCATGCTTTGTGCATAGACCTTCCTTGCCGAAGTCCCTCTTCAGATTCTGTAAAGCTGTTTGCTTCAGCTGAAAGAATGATGACGATGCCACCATCAGGAATGTGGAACATAAAGTTTTCCCTTTTCTATCAATAAACTCCAAATCTAAATGGCGTGGAAATTGTAAATGCTGAGCAAAAAACATTGAAGCAACCTGCTGCACTTGAGGATGTAATTTGAGGTCCTCCCTGTAATTCCCTGATATTCAGACCTGCTCGGAACTAATTAGTGGCTGTGGCCACAGGAAGATGTGGCAACACAATTCATTTTTCTGAATGGCTGCAAGGTATTTAATTGGAACAACAGAAGAATTAGAGGGCAGCAGTTAGCAGGTTTATCACCAGATGGAGTGTGCTGCCCAAATGGTTCTTATTCAGTTTCAAAAATGAATTGCCCGAAGATTTATTCTGGGATTTTTTTTTAACCTGAAGAGAGACTTACATTGCAAATACCAACAAGGAAAGCCATCACTCTCCAGTGCTGTGCTGGAAAAGCTAACGCAGTGTTTCTAGTCAGCAGCTCCCTGTGAATGAGGATTAATGGTTTAGGACATGAGGGCCTGTACAGCCAGGCTTTCACTAAACCTGTGTAATGAAGCAAATGACGATACCAGCGCACCTGCAAACAATTATCTTTGAATACAGGAGAGCTATCTTCCCGATCCATTATCTATCAAGTACTCACACCACTTAGTGGTTGTGCACACCACCCTGGTCTTAGAAGCGATTCACTTTAAGTTTTTCTCGAATCCCTTCTGTATTAGAGTACTCCAGAGAAACAGAACTAACAAAGAGATTTTTATCTACATCCATTTCCATCCTGGGAGAGAGAGACACACACAGACAGACACACACACACACACACACACACAGAAACACAGAAAAAGACAAAGATGAGAGACTTATTTTTAAGGAATTGGATCATGCAGTTGTAAAGCCTAGCAAGTCTAAAATCTGCAGTGTAGACCAGCAGGACCGAGATCCAGGCAAGAGCTGACGTTGCAGCCTGAATCTGAAGGGCATCTGGAGGCAGAATTCCTTCTTCTAGTGGAGTCAATCTTTTTCTATTCAGGCAGTCAACTGATTGGATGAGGCCCACCCACAATATGGAGAGTAATCTGCTATACTCAAAAGTCTACTACTTTAAATGCTAATCTCATCTTAAAAAATACCTTTACAGAAACATGGGTATGACCTGGGTATTGTGGCCTGACCAAGCTGACATTTAGCTAAAATTAACTATTCTGAGCCAGAGCTTCATATTATCTCTCTATGGGTCCATCTCATCTCCAATTTTATTCATCCTAAGGTTGAGGAGGAACCTAACTTTTGTTATGGTGCCAAGATCGTTAAATCTTTAAGCATTATTTCATTTAATCTCCATAAGGATATATTCTAGGTGAAAAAACTGAGTCCCCCCAAAATTTGAAACCCACGTCAGCCAACTCCACCTGAACTGAATCAGTGTTCCACTCCACAGCACATCTTCAGGAACGGCCACGTGTTTCTTGCCAGATCTGCTCTGATTTTCTTTGCATCTTATCTCTGGCTCATTTCTGATTTTCTGTGCAGCTAAAGACACCTCCTGCTTCCTCTTCACCTGAGTTGAGAATAAGGCATGTGTACAGACTGCTTCTGCCAGGAGGTATGCCGTCAATAAAACAGGACTGCACAGGATTTCAGACAGAGGTGTGACGAGATAATGGGGGTTTGGAATCTGTTAATGAGTAAACACTCTGTACAAACACACACAAGGAAGCAAGTCCTCCGATGTGGGGACTGAGGCGCAGCAGCCATCGGCAGACTTGCAGCACAGGCCGGGCATGCCTCACTGAGCACCACGCTTTCCTGGATAGGACCCCTCACAACAGCAATTAAAAGGTTATTTGTATAATTACACGATTAGGGCTCTTCTCGCCTACCAGACACTCAGCTGAATGGTCAGGAACCACGCTCCGAATTTCCAAGACGTCACACAAAGGAACTGAGGTGAATCCATTTGCCAAAAAAATTCAAACCGATGATGTCAATGAATATGCATAACAGATCATTTTTCTTTATTTGCGAAGAGTTTGTTGCTGCACAGGGAGAGGTTATGCAAAAACAGCGAGGATACTTAAAAGAGTTACTGACAACCATAATCTTGTCCAGAAATGGACCACGCATGGCATGCATACCTCCTGTGACTTCCCAGGACCTCAGCTTGGGCAGACCTCACCCAGAGGTCGGGGCATTCTGCCCACATGAGCCCACAGATGGCCTCAAGACCATCGCACCCCAGTGCAGTGGACTCTTCCAACCAGTTAGGTCTGGCACACGAGAGAGGACCTACTTGCCGTCTAAATCAGCCCCTCTGTTTAAACAAGAAAAGCAAGGTCTTAATCAAAAACCTCTTTTTCCCTAAGTCTGAGCCAACTCCCTCACCTCTTCCCGTTAGGATATGACCCTTTTTTTTTTTTTTTTAATGATCTTCATTTCTATTCTGTATTTATTCAATTAGTTTCATAATTAGAAGCTATCTCAAACGGTAAGAAAAATGTCAGTGTATAATAATGTACAAATATAAGAATTTTCTGAAGTCACATAACTAGGTACTAGTAGATCAATACTTTAGTCAAATACTAACTAACTGTATTTGTGATT